TAAATTGGGTACCTCTTCTGTTTTATACATAAGAAACATATATTATCCACCTAGCTCTATGGTCTAAATGTCGAGACCCTAAACTCAAAGCTTGAGCTCCTGGCCACCATGGTGGTGGTGTCCCAGGGTGGGGACTTGGACAGGTAATTAGGGGAGGAGGGTGCAAATACGTTACAAATATCTTTTCCCATCTTCTGCTGTCCATTCTCCAATCCCCTTGCCTATCACCCTCAGAGCCATTAGGAGTCCGATTTCCCACATCTTTTCCCACCAAGGCCCTGCCCTGCGGCGAGAGGACCTAAAAGAGCCCAAGCACTGTAGGGAGAGTTTTTCCCATTCCACAAAACTTAAGAGCTGGGACAACACACATTTATCATCTCCGAGTCTCTGTTGGTCAGAAATCTGAGCACAGCATGGCTAGATTCCCCGCTCAGTACCTCCCCAAGTAGAACTTGGTGTTGCGAGGACGTCTCACGTGGCACTCGGGGTCCTCTTCCAAGCTCCCTGGGTGAGGCAGAATTCGGGTCTGTATGGGTACAGGCCTGAGGCCTCACTCTCAAGCTCTCAGCTGCTGCTGGGATTTTGGTACTGGGGTACAGGAGGCTGCTATAGCAAATACCTTGAGAAATAAGTGGCTTTGGGATTAGGTAACAGGCGCAGCTGGAAGAATCCTGAAGCTTGTGACAGAAAAAGCAGACATTTCTGCCCCCTGCCTCGCAAGTGTAAGGTCCCAAGTTCGATCCCCGGTACCAAAAAAAGCAAAAGCAAAAGCAGATGTTTCCATGAAGGGGTTGCTGGCAGAAAGATGGAGACTGAAGGTGCTTCTGGGGAGGGCGGAAATGGAAACAGGTAACGCGCTATTGGGCACTGCGGGAAGGGTGACCTTGGTCCACCGTTGCGGGGAACACGGGGCCTTGGCTCCCCAGGCCACTCCACCTGCCACCGGGGATGGGTCCTCTGTGCGGGCCAGCTGGGGTGCCCCTACCCGAGAGTCCCATCTCGGGGTCCACCTTCCAGCGCCACTTTCGACGACACAAGTCTAAGTCGGGCTTCCTAGGAGCGGCATCCAGGACACGCAGAGTTGAGAGGGCCCAACATGGGCTAGGACAAAATCGCACTCCATGTTGCACCAGTGGTTTAGTTTGCTTGGGCAACAGCTTAGCCACGTATAGGAGCCAATGAAGTTTAGTTCAGTCCTTCCACAGCCAAAGTACATCCTATGATCATAAAAGGGCGTGAACACAAACAGGTTCTACGCAGTGATTATTTACTATGAAACGTTGAATACAACCGAAATGTTCAGCAGTCAAACATTTTATCACTTATGCCTTCATTTTGCTCCAAAGAATGGGTAGCTAAGTTCTGGTCACCAACTGGAACACTAAACGGTAACAGCGATAACAGCACTGCAGAGGAGTGACGTCCCGCAGGCAGCTTTCTGCTACCGTAACAAACACCAGAGATGCAACCTATAAACAGCCAGGTTCAGGTGGGCTCCGTCAGGTTTCAGTCCACGATGGACTGGCCTGCTGCCCTGGGGCTTCAGGGAGGAAGCACATCGTGGCTGGTGCTATAACTGTTCCCCATGACCCGGAAGAGGAAGAGGGAGGAGCAGGGGTCCCGCCATCCTCTTTAAAGGCCCCCAGTGGCCAAAAAGCACCCAAAGGTGCCACCACCTTGTGAGCCAGGGACTGAGCCTTAACACACAGGCCTCAGGGGGACGCATATCCAAACCTCAGCCTGAACCGACCCACTTGGGGGACGCAGGGACATTTCTTTGTATCCTTAAATGAACTGAAGCCCAAATCCAGCCCGCACGTCGCTGTGGTGGAAGGAACGGTCCCCAGCACCGTCTGTCCCTCCCTCAGCTCTTCCTGGCTCGGCCAGTCTCCTGCCCACCCACAGAGTGGCTCTAGCTGTGCTCCTTGGCTCCCACCTCTTCCTTACCGTCCTGTCACATACACGCTTTTCCAGTGTGAGCCCCAAGTCTGACTGCCCCCCAGCCCCCACCCGGCCTGTCACCTTCATCGCCCTCCTTTTCTCCTCAGGGCTGTGGGCTGCCTTCCCTCGGGCTCCCACTCTGGCCCTGGGACCTCTCCATGGCAGCCACCCTCGGCTCGGCACATGTGCCAGGCTTGGTCCTCCCTAAGCCCGGCCTTGCTGAGGGTCAGCCCGGGGCCAGAGTCCTCTCCCGACTCCGTTACAGACCCGATGGGAGCAGGGGCCTCGTGACCCTGTACACCCAGAACCCGCCTCCCCACAAGAGGGGCCCTGGTACATGGTACCAAGCCGTCAGCCAATAAACCTTTGCCTCCAGTTCGCTCCAGCCTGCTCCTTCCCTGCTGCAGCTCAGGACACCCTGCCTCGGCCTCCAGGTGCCCCAAGTTCCCTGGCAGTGCAGACTCAGTGCCCCACCAACCCACCAGCCTCCCCTCAGCTGTACGGGGTCAAGGCCTGGCCCCGCCTGAGCTGCTGGTTTGTTGTAAGCAGCCGCAGCGTTTAGGCAGCTCTCAGCTTTCCTCCAGGAAAACCCTTGAGATTGAGAACTGGAATGCACAGAGAATGGGGGAAAACATTGAGCAAATATGAGTTACCCTGTCACATAACTGAAAGTGAAAACGACTGAACACAAGATTATACAAAATGATTGATTATAATGTTTTTTTTGTTTTGTTTTTTTTCTTGGTACCGGGGATTGAACTCGGGTCCTTCCGCTTGCAAGGCAGGCCACCGAACCGCTGAGCTAAATCCCCAGCCCTAATTATAATGGTTTTTAATGCACAAACAAAACACTGGAAGAAAGTAAAATAAAATATTTCAGAGTTTTAGAATAGATGTCAGTAGGAGTAATTCTGACCCGATTTCTACATATTTGTACATTTCATGTAATGAGAGTAAGTTGCTTTTGTAATTTTTTAAAGTTATTCTTTAAATTTTTTGAGTCCACAATTCCACATCTGGTAATTTATAATTTGAACATGTTTTCAAATGTACGTGTAGATGCTATAACAAGAAAGCTCATTTAAAAATTTTTCGTTGTAGTGAAAAATGAAAAACAAACTAAATATTTCCTCCCAAAATCAGAGATAACCCATAATGATGAAATATAAACATACCCTAAAAATTATGGTAGACAAAGAATACCTCAAGTTATAGACAAATTGAAAACTTATAAAACAGTACAGGAGCTTTTTTTGTGTGACTAATTCTTAGAAAAAACACTTCAGAGTATAAAGCCAAAGTCAGCTTTAATTCCTGCTCATTAGTGGTATTACAGGCAATGTTAGTTTTCTTCTTTGTACTTAACTTTTTCTTTCTTTTTTTTTAAAAAAACAGTAATCATAAGAAATCATTTTTCCTGTAAGGAAAAGATTTATCTAGACCTGCATATTCTTTTTTTTTTTCAGTTTTAATTGAGTTTATTGGTACATTTTAGGGATACAGTACAGTTACATTCATTGTTGGGATCTTGTACCTCTACATGACAAGTCTTGATTCTCATTTTTTCCCCTTACCTCTGCCCTCCCTTCACCCCCTCCTCCCCTCCCCATCTACAAACACTTTATTTTCATCTTTTCATTCTCTCACATTTTTTTCTTTTCCCTTTTTGTTCTTCCCCTACGCATCACACCTTCCCTACACCTTTAGCTCCTTTCTTCCCATTTCTAAATGTCAGTAATCTTATTAGGATCTTATGCATTGCTGCAGATTATTCACACCAGGGAAAGTTTCGGTATTTACACATGTGTCACTTATTTATTTCACTTAGAAGTATATCTTCAATATGTATACATTTTCCTATGAATGAATCTATTTTCTCGTTCTTTATGGCTGAGTAATATTCCATTTTATAGAAAAACCACATCTTCTTTATCCAGTTTCCAACAGATGGGCAAATGGGCTGTTTCCAAGATTTAGCTATTACAAACTGTGTCACTATAAACATGGGTGCACATACATCTCTGTGATATGATTCTTTTAGTTCTCTTGGAAAGATACCCAGCAGAGGGATGGCTGGGTCAAATGGAACCTCCAGTCCAAGTTCTTTGAGGTATCTCCATATTGATTTAAGTAAAAGCAGCAAGAAAATATTTGAAAAAATGCTCCACATCACTGGTCATTCGAGAGATGAAGATGAAAACAACACTGAGATTCCACCTCACCCCACAAAGAATGGCTGCTATCAAGAAAACACACAATAACAAATGTTGGCGGGGTTGTGGGGAGAAAGGAACCCTTCTCCATTGTTGGTGGGAGTGCAGACTGGTGCAACCACTATAGATCTGCATATGCTTATATATTCTAGATTTTAATCCCTTATCAGGTATATAATTTGGAAACATTTTCTCCCATCCTGTGGGTTATCTTTTCACCTCAACAGTGTTCTGTGATGAACAGAAGTTTTGAATTTTGATGAACTCTAGTTTACTTTTTTGTTGTCTGTGATTTTGGAGCATTGCTTTTTGCTTTAAAAAGTAAAATATCCCTGTGGGGGGCGGGGCAGGGAAGGAGATGAAAAAAGAATTAAGATGTGTTACATACACGCACCAACTCCCCACAAGGAATGTATTTATTATGTACCACAAACATGGATTACTAAAATAAATTAATAATAAATAAATGAGAAAGATTATCCTGGCACTTTGGGAGCTGAGGTGGCTGAATCAAAAGTTTGAATCCAGCCTGAGCACTTAGAAAGTTGGCAAAAAGACTCTATCTCAAAATTTAAAAATAACTCAGGATGTACCTCAGTGTGAAGACCCTGGGTTTAATCCCCAGTACCACGGAAGAAAAGGAGAGAAAAGGACAGGACAGAGGGGTGGAGGGGAGGAGCCTATCGACGCAAATGAAACAGAAAAACGAAGTCCCCTGCTATGGTGTTGAGTGTTCTTAACAACTCTCAGGAAATACTCTTTTTTGAAGTAAAACTCCCAAATCTTCAGTTGTTTCAGTCACGTTCTTTGACTTGTAGTGGAGGAGCCCTGGTTCCTCACGCTCGCATGACGCGTCACAGGTGCACCAGAGACTGGAATCCGAGCTCTGGTCAGCTCTGCCCTCAGTGAGCCGGGAGGCTTATTTATCACAAAGACTCTCCAGTGCAACTGACAGAAAACCAATTAAAACAGCTTAGATAGAAAAGGGAAGGCCTGGTCCTACAGGCATGGTTGCGGTGTAGTGGTTTCAAGTGGATCCAGAAGCTGTTATTTCTGTTTTCTTCTCTTTCTCTCTCCCTCCCTCCCTGCTGTGACCTGGACGTCCATGTCCGCACCTTTGACATGTGGAGACCCTGACCCCAGGGTATGGAGTTAGGAGACAATTAGGTCAGGAAGGTGCAGCCTTCTGACAAGGATGGGTGTCCTAACAAAGGAGGAAGGCAGCCATCCACCCTCATGACACAGCGCAACTGTTGCCACCTTGGTCTTGGACTTCCCAGCTTCCAGAACTGTGAGAAGCAGAGTCTTGTGTCTGTTGCATGTAAGCTGCCCAGTTTGCGGTATTCTAAGGGCCTAAACAATGAAGTCACTCCCTGTCTCTCTTATTCTTTTGATTTCCTGACTTTTCTTTTACTAAGCAAAAGCGTGGCCCCATTCATACCTATCGTACATAACATGTGGGGGTGATCATGAACAATGTAACCAATGTTGTGTCAGCGTACAATCTCAATAATTAAATACTAAATCCTAGTGAATTCTGATAGGTCTTCTTTGGGTCACATGTCCATCTCTGAACCAATCACTGTGGCCCAGGAAATGGGCCACTCTGATTGGCTACATTGGGTCGTGACCAACCTTGTAGCTTGGGGTGCAGGTTCGGTAACGATGGGCTGAGACTTTCTAAAGAGAGAGGTTTCAGTGAGTCTATGTACACATGCTAGTGTTCACCAGCAAGTACTGTGCAAATATTTACTAGTGATGCTCCTGGTTTTAAGTGATATCTTTCTCTGTTGAATTTGGTGGGGTTTTCCCTCATTGGGTGGTTGCTGTAGCTTGGATCTGGAGCACCCTCCAAAGATTTGCATGTCAAGGGCTTTGTCCCCCGCTCAGCACTCCTGGAAGGCAGGAACCTTTAAGACCTGGCAGGAGGACTTTAGGTCACTGGAGGGATGACCATGAAGGGGATTATGGAACCACTATCTCTTCCCCCTTCTCTTCTGTTTGGTCACCATGAAGTGAACCAATTTGGACCCCACACTTCTTACCAAGTTGTGCTCCTCCTGCCACCTGATGCCCAGAATAGATCAGCCAACCATGGACTAAAACCTCCAGAACTCTGGGCTAAAATAAACCTCTCCTCTTCTAAGTTGATCGTCTCAACTATTGTGACAGTAGGGAATAGAGAACACAGGAGTCTGAGGGAGGCCCACTGGGTTCCTTGAATTCAGCAGGTTAGAGGAAGAGAGTTATATTTAAAAAGCAATAATAACAAACACTACTTCCAAATGGTCCTGAGTTTGGAGCCATGGTTCTTATTCCATTCCCATCGGTGGAATAACTTAAACACTGTTTTCTGCTGCTTTCTCTGCAAAGGGTTCCAGCTGATTGCAGATCCAGTCCCATTTGAAGCAGTGGCCGATTTGGACTGCTCTGTCTGTGTTCCCCAAGGTCCTGGGATCCAGAGAAGCCCTCCCTGTTTCGAGAACTTGGTCCCCATCGCCACACTGGAGCTGCCCACGGTGCTGAGGGAAAGACAAACATTGTCCTTGATTGGCCTTGAAGTTCAGCAAGGGAAGAGGCTGCTGAGATGCGAGTTGGTAAGAAAGAATCCCCCAATGCAGCTGCTGCTGCCCACGGACTGCTGGGCCACTTCCAGGAGGGCCAGGATGACCAGATCTACACCATTGACACCATCGTGAGGCAGAAGTTACTCACAGGCAGGAAACGCAGGCTCAAGGCGGCGCCAGGGCACAGCCTGAAGACTCTCAGTCCCCGTGTTCCAGAGCACTTCCATGACCATCCAGTTCTGCACCCCCATTTTTTGGGGATGGCACTTTTGCCCAGTGAGTAAAGTGAAGTGGTTGGGGACATGCAAGAGGCATCTTCTGTTGCTATAATAGTGAAGGCTGGGACATTGGTAAAGAAAAGAGGTTTGTGTGGCTCACTGCTTTGGAAGCTGAAAATGCACACAGCTTGGGACCAGCCCTGGTAGAGGCTCCATGGCAGATGGCATTATGGCAGGTGCATGTCAGGGAGAGAGATCACACAGCAAGACAGGAAGCTGCGGGGGCAGTGTTGCTCTTCTATAACACCCTCTCCCAAGAACTAAACAGGACCCCAAGAGTTGTCTTTACTCTCCCAGAAGACAGTGCTCCCAGTGACCTAACAACCTCCCACTAGGCCCCACCTCTTACCAGAGTTTTTTGTTTTGTTTTGTTTTTTGTACCAGGAATCTAACTCGGGTCCTTGAGCTTGCAAGTCAGGCAGCAGAACCACTGAGCTAAATCCCCGGCCTAGCCCCACCTCTTAAAGGCACCACTACCTCTTAATGTGCATTTACTGGGGACGAAGCATCAGCATAGACCGTGGGGGCCATGCACAAACCATATCCAGGCCGCAGCAGAGAATTTCTGAGGCACACTAGGTGAGGACATTGCATGCTCGAGGAGACCCTGTCATCCACATACAGCTGCAGCTGCAGTGAGGGACTTGCCAAGCCACAGGTCTGCAGATCGATGGGCAAGTGACCCAGAAATAGCTGCAAAGAGCCCATTTCCAGAAAGTGCCCCTCTTACTTCACTGACTTCTTGATTTAAGAAGAAACAATAGACTCCAAAACATACTCCTAACAACTCTTCCCAAAGAATGTGATTTATCCTATTGTTTTAAAAACCCAGTCATTTCTTCACCTATTATATTGTTGTCGTTACCTACGTTTAAACATATTCCTTCGGTGGGCTCAAAATGCTTTTGATTTCCTTAAAAAATATTCATTTAAAGGTGTCATCCAGGTAGATGGGCTCTAGGCAGAAAAATAGTTTATCCTTTGAGCAAACTTATTCTTGGTGCATTTTGTTGGATGCTGTCACAAAGGCCAGTCCCGGGCTGCACATTAATTTTATGACTTTGTTTATAGTCTTGTGAATGCCAAACTCCGGTGAACCTCTCTGCCTACTCCTGGACTGGGTCATTTTATTTTTCTTTGCAGAAAAGAAATATTATACTAGGCATGAATTTATAGCAGGCTTTGAGCTTGCTGGAAGATCTCCAGCAGGAGGCGATGTTTGTAAAAGACTGGTCCAGCGTCACAGCAGGGCGAGCGTGTTTGTGCAGTGCTGGGTTTACAGAAGAAGCCCTGCTCTGATTTGCTTCGCTTCTCTCTATTGGCCATACTCAGACTGAGTGTAAACCAGGTCTGCCCAGTCCACCTCCATCACACCCAGTGTCTCGTGACCATTTCCCACTCCCTCTCTGCTCCCTCCTCTGAATAATGAGGACAACAGGGGTAAGTGACAGGTCCGTGGCGCACGGTCCCCAGGAGAGTGCGCGGTGAGGAGTGGGTAGCCCTGGGCAGACAGGTGCTCTGCATGCATGGTGGACTCCAGAGCCTCTCTGCCCCTTCCAGCTGTGCGGATGTAAAGCTGAATCTCGTTTCTTCCTGCTAATCTAGTCCCAATGAAGAGCTCCTCCTTGCATTTGTTCTCCTGCTTCAGATTCTCATGGCATATGGGCGCCCATAGTGTACTAAGAAGAATAATGTTATCATTTAAAATATGTCCCAGATACTCGGAGGCTGAGGCCAGAGGCCCACTTGAACCTCGAGTCCAGAATCAGGTTTGCGGGGTCAGTGACAGTGGCAGACAGTATGCACCGTTTCAGTACACTTGAGCTGTGCATTTCCACCTTGGGTTGGATCCTGGGGACATCGAGGTTCCTGCAGTGTGAGCTCACTGCTGAGACGCACCTGAGCCAGGGGGGACATGCAGGGGGACCCCGTGTGACAGAGACCACCCCAGGGTCCTAATGGGGGCCCTCGGAAGGGACCTTCAGTGGCTCCACCACCAGGGGAGGCCCCACCAGACCCAGGTTGCTGACCACAAAGCCAGGTTTCAAAACTACTTCTGAGTTCATCCCAAAAACCTGGTGAGGTCAGAATTATCCTTATTCACTGGATTCAGAAAGTAAAGGTCTGAGAGGTTTTAGTTTAGGTTACAACCCTAGAAAGGGTAGGGGATTGTCTAAGTGAGTTTCCACAGGTTATAGCTATCAAATAGTTACCCATTAGAAATTAAAACTGAGAAATTGAAAAATATTCATGGATTTATTTTTAAATAACAGTATTAAACATATTCATCTTTCAAAGAGCCACTGACATCATGAGAGAGAGAACTACCACCTAGGGCCTCGGATATCTGAAATAACCCACAGGATGGCTAATTTTCTCAGTTCTCTGCTGAAGATCTCTGGTCAGAGAATCATCCTGACTCTGTGGGCATCCTGAGGCTGCCGCTGCTCTCCAACTCTAAAAGGAACTTGGCCAGCGCTGAACCCTGCCCCATCTCTCCAGTGCTTTCCGTTTCCTGTACTTTTTTTTTTTTTTTTTTTTTTTTTTTT